GTCTGTGACTTTTACATCTAAAGTTATAAGGTAATTATTCCAAAGAGGGAAGGAATGCCCCCTGCAATGGGCCCCCTGAAAAGGGGCCCCTGGTGCACCCCATAGAGTTACATTTTAATAGCCTATATTAGTTTTTTCCCTTATACACCAGTGTGAATACTGATATTTTTGTTATTGAATTTCAAATAGGGCCAATTTAAAGGCCAAAGGCTTACGTTTTTCAGTTACAAATGGCCTACTGATGTTTTGCTTTTATATTTTACATTAGGCTATTATTTGTGCATAAACATATCTAGATATAGTAATAAACACACCGTTTGTTTGAAAACATTTTTTGTCATCCTTACTGCAAACTTATATGAGCGATAATATCATTAAATGTGGAGAGGGGATTTACGATATTTTCCGGGGGAAAAGGGGGTCTCAGGCAAAAAAAGGGTTGGGAACCACTGTTGTAGTGGGTATTCTGCCTTCATTCTAAATTTCTAAGTTTATATGTTATAATTGGCTAGTAGAATGATTGACTAGCTATGATACGTTACTTGGATTACAGTACAATGCATTAATTTCTATCATATTGCGATCTTTGCTCACAGGTATAAAGTTCAAGGTATAGTGAAAGACATCCCCACCCGGATAATCGACTATATTCGTCCTGGACCATACAGACTGAACTGGGACAGCTTGATGACTTCAATGGATATTGTTAAAACATTCGATGAGGTAAACTTACAATTCATTATCTTCAGAAGATTTGTATAGTTTTTTTTTATTGTTTTTAAAATAGTGCTTTGACAACATGTAGAATCCCCTAAAAAGATACTGAACACTACACAACAGATGTACATAAAAACGTGTAATAAACTGAAGGCAGGAGGGGGTAGCAGAAAAGAAGCAAAGGAGTCTCCTTAGAAATAAACAAAATCATAAGCAGGATCAAGCTATGCTTAAGGTAGGATATGCATTATTACAGGCCTTCATCTCCTCAAGCGTCATGCTGTAAGGCCACTATATGGTGATGCCAGTCTTTGTTTTTCTGATGTTGCTCTCCTGTTTTTAATAACACAAGAGCCACAGTAATCTTGATCATACTGTATGATTCATGGAGCTTTATGCCCAGATGTATGGAGAAGACTGACTTGGATTTTGCTGTTTCTTTTCTGCTGGTTTGAATTAGCCGATTAGAGGTGTGGTCATCCTTTTGTTATTTGTAAAAGTAATGATAAAGCTTATGATAGGCTGCTATGGCCGTGTTGTTAAGGTGTTAGACTCTAAATTGGGTGAAGTTTCCTTACAAAGATTTGAATCCCAGCTGTTTTCAAATCACATGCGAGGCAGCATAACTGGACAAAGTCTGTGTCTCATTATAACTGAAAGAGCCGAATCAACACCTCGTTCCCTTAAAGAACCCCAGGAAGCTTCTCATTTGACACTTTTTGGGAAGGTGTGTGGCTTTGTAACTGTGATTGAATGCTGCTGGTTCAAATCCTAGCCTTGGCTGGGTGATTATTCCATTAGGTTCCCGACTAAGGCTAAATAAGAGTAATGTAAAACAAATGAACAAATTAACTGAAGTTTTCCTCATTAGAGCAGTCGGTGGTAGGGAATTTAAGGATTCTTTTCTTAATTCCCAAAATTACAATTTAGACAGAAAGATGCTATGGAATACAGTTTTATAATATGTAAAAGACTATATTGTGAGTAAAGATTGACTTTATAAGTCTGTTCACAGTTTTTTTTGTGTGATGGAAAACACTAGTAAAGTGTAACTGAGATAAAGTTATTAGGAAAAAACCGTCATCAATGGAAGATCCACTGGCATTATCTCTTTGGTAATTAAGATTCTCAGATACTCAATTCATAGTTATGCTGCTGGTGGTCCTGAAGTTTCAGTTGCTTTTAACATTTAGATGAGTGTTGTTCTTGTACTGCACAGCCAGGTTGCTGCATGTTGCGCTACACGACTGCAGGACAGCTATGGAATATTATCGCTCCCCGGGAATTTGTCGACTTCTCCTACACCACGGACTACCAAAACGGCCTCCTTTCCTGTGGTTAGTACTTTAGCCCATATTCCTATAATCTTGCATAGTCATAATAGTGAGTTTTTGGACTGTATTTTTATGTATACAGTGGTACCTCAGAACTCAAACTTAATCTGTTCAGAACGCGGGTTCAAATCCTAAAAAATTCGAGTTCTGATCGAATTTTCCCCATAAGAAATTATGGAAAACCAATTAATTGGTTCCCGGCCCCAAACAATTACACCTAAATATGTTTTTTTTTTT